CAATGCATCAAATTCGAAAATACATGTATAACATTATACATGCATTCTCAACAATACATCTATTTAACAATCGCAACTTCCAAACAACCCCTTAGTGTACTATTGTCTGCTTGCCTGTTTCAAACCATAGAGCAAATGACAGACCTTCCCTTTACAGTCCTTTCCCAGATTCAAACCAGGAGGTATCTCCATGTATACCTCTTCAATTAAATCCCCATTCAAAAAGGCATTGCTTACATCCATTTAATGTAAGTGCCAATTCTGCACTGCTGCCACTGCAAGCAAAGCTTTCACTGAACTAAGCTTGGCTACTGGTGAAAATGTGTCACAGTAGTCAATGCCATAAACTTGGGTATAACCTTAGCAAATAACCTTGGTTTGTATCTTTCCACTGATCCATCATAGTGCAGCTTTAACCTGAAAACCCACTTACAGCCTATAGTTCTTTTCCCAACAAGTAAATCTATGATTTCCCAAGTGCCACTATCAATCAAGGCTTTTAACTCTTCTTGAACTGCACTGTCCTAGTGTGGATTCTGCATTGCTTCTTCATAAGAGGTAGGTTATGTATTTGCAGTCAAGTTGTTGATGTAATGTGGGTGTTTAGGCAATAGGTGAGTATAGGAGAGAGCTTTATGAATGGGATAAGGAATGTGGTAGTCACCACGCCAATTGGGAGGTCTAATTATTATGGTTGACTTCCTCAATTGAACATGAGATGGGGAATGAGAAGGACTGTTTGGTGGTGTTGGGGAGAAATGGGAGAAGAAGGAGGAACAAAAGAAGTGGTGATTAGTGGATTAACATGATGAATGTGAGAAGTTGAAGTATGGGAAGGAGGAATGAGAGAATTTTGAGAAGGAGAAACAGGTGTAGGAGAAGGTGAAGAAGGTTGTATCCCCCCTTAAGACTGTGGATCCATAGAAGGGTGAGAGTTTGAGAAGGGATCAAAAAGGTGGAAAAGATGGGGGAGTAAAGGAAAAGGTTGGTAAAGAAAAAAGGTTGGAAGGAGAAGGCTAAGAAGCAGCAGATGTTTGAGTGGCATATGGCAAGATGGTTTAATGGAAAACAACATCTCTGGAGCAGAATACTCTTTTGGTCTCAAGATCTAAGAGTTTAAAACCCTTTATGCCTACTGGAATGCCTAGAAATATGCATTGCTTAGACCTAGGGGAGAATTTGGTTCTGTGAGGTCAGTTGTAGATGCATAAACTAGGCATCCAAAAACTCTTAAAGAGCTGTAATCTGGTGGGACACCATACAGTTTCTCATAGGGACTTAAATTGTTCAGAATGTGAGTGGGGATTCTATTTATGAGATATGCAGCATGGAGGACAAAGTCACTCCAGTAAGACAGGGACAAACCGGATTGGAATTTGAGGGATCTTGCCACATTGAGCAGATGCTGGTGTTTCCTTTCAACCCTCCCATTCTGTTGGGGAGTGTAAGCCACATTCATTTGGTGTTCAATCCCATGGGTTTGATAGAAATCATCCTTGTGGAAGTCCATTCCCTTATCTGTTCTAATGATCTGAACAGATTTATTAAACTGGTTTTTCACCATGATGCAAAAAGACTGCACTTAGGATCTAGCTTCATCCTTAGATTTCATAAAAAAGGTCCACACACATCTACTCAAATTATCCACAATGGTTAAAAAGTAATTGAAACTACTGTAAGAGGTGGTTCTCAAAGGCCCCCCAAATGTCTACATGTATCAGACCAAACAAGGAAGGATGAACAGAACTGCTTACTGGAAATGGAGATCTTTTCTGTTTTGATAGATGACAAACATCACAATGGAGAATCTTAGAAACTAACACTTCTGGACATTGTTTGTATATAGCTTCTAGTCTAGAAATGTAAGGGTGACCCAATCTGGCATGCCAGAGATCAAAACTTTGTGGCTGAAAATTGAGTTGGGAAGTAGCAAAGCACTTTGGAGTGGTGAAATGAGGGTCTTCAGTGGTGAATTTGGTGTAATTGAAGAGGTAAAGTCCCTTATCCACTTGGGCTAAACCAATCCTCCTCTGTGTAATAAGGTCCTGGATGACACAGAAAGAGGATTTAAAAAGAAGTGAGACATGATTGTTTTTGGTGAGTTCGCTAACTGAAACAAGATTGTAACTAAAGCTAGGCACAAAGAGGACTTGAGAAAGAAAAAGTCCACAGGGAAGTCTAACAATCCCTGTGTGTGTGGCCTGAACCTTATTGACATAAACACCTTGTAGTGTCCTGAACTTCAAGAAATACTTCAGATCACAAACTATGTGATATGTAACACCGGTATCTAGAACCCATAATGGTTCTTTTGTCTTAGCCAAGAGTGTTGAGAGATTAGTGGTACCTGAACTTGAAGGTAGATATACTGGGTGGTATTGTGTGCCACCTGGTTTGACAGCTTGATGCTGAAGATTGACAGCAAGAGCTGATTGTTGCTGAGTTATGGTAACTGCATTTGCAGCATGCCTGATGGATGGAGATGTTGGTGGAGAAGGAGATGATGGCGGTGAACCAAGGAGCAGCATCCTTAACTTGTCCATCTGATCATTGCTGAGCTGCAGACTAGCCGACTGTTAAGATTGGTTCTGCTAGCTGTGTAATGCCCTCTAGTTGCAGCTCCAAGAATACCATATTCATCATCATTACCAGTCTCAATAGACCCTGCAAAACTCGCATTGCAAGCTTCTCTTGATCTCTTATTTTCGATTTCAGACACTCACTAATAATGTGGTTGTCCTTCTTACTGTACCTACAGTACTTCTTTTTGGTAACACCTTTCATTTGATGCTCCAGTTGCAGAATTTGCTTAAAAACAACATCAATAGAGGGCAACACAAAGTTCATGAGAACTTGAGTCCTAGCAGATTGATACATCTCATTTAAACCTTGCATAAATTTGATTACAAAGTCATTGTACTGGTACATTTTCATCGTCTCATAAGGATCATTGCAAAGTGATGGCAATGGGGCGGGGCGGGTACCTCAATTCCCATGCCCCGCCCCACGCTACTACGGGTCGGGGCGGGTAAAACCCGCGCGGTTACAGGGCGGGGCGGGTCGACCCACTCTTACATGTTGTTCAAAAAAAATACAAGTAAATTTTACTTTTTACAATAAAATGTAGGAAAAAACACTTTAAGAATGAAAAATATTGATAATAGAATGGATAATTGAGCCTAACAAGGTGAAAGATCGACTCTAACTAGTTGAAGAAAAGTCAAAATAGGAGAAATATGTATAGATATTGTAAGAAATTGAGATAAAATGAGTCTAGAACGGGGCAGGGCGGGTCGGAAGTAGATACCCATGCCCCGCCCCACGCTACTGCGGGTCGGGTAATACCCGCCCCATCGCGGATCAGGTCGGGTAATACCCGCGGGGCGGGTTGAAATTGCCATCACTAATTGCAAGGACAAGTAGGAATTGGTCTGTACTTTTTATATTCCTCCCATATCACAGTAATGGAGGTAAAATATTGACTCACTGATTGTTCCCCTTGGACACATTTGCCCAACTGACCATCCAAATCGAAAACCCAAATGTTGTCCTCTTGACTAAATCTTTTCTTCAGATTTTCCCAGACAGCCTGAGCACTCTCCATACTCATAACACTATTCACTATATCTTCAGGGAATAGTTCCATTGCAACGGAGCCAAGACTGATATATGGGATTTGTTACCTTTGGGACTGGGATGGTGCCATCGATGAAGGCGACCTTGTTTTTGGTTCCCAGGGCAACAAGCATCACTTGTCTCTATGTATGGTAGTTTCCATCAACGAGCTTAACGGAGATGATGGTAGACACAGCTCCATCTTGAGGCGGAAGGAAGTAGGGGTTGAGGTAGGGATCTTCGTAGGAGGAAGAGGAACCCATCAATGTCTGTGTTGATTTGCCTGCACTGGTTGATGATTCATCACCCATGATTCAACAGCTGTGGAAAAGGAAGATTTCAGAGAAGAAAGGGAGAAGACGAGAAGAAGGGGTGCAGGAGGCGAAACCCTAACATAGGTAAGAGCAACCATGAGAAGAAATCAGATCTTGGGAAAAATGCTCGATGAGCTTTCCATTGATGATCAATTGATATACATACAGAGTTTCACTAATCACTATTTTCTAACGACTAATTACAACTAACTGTTTAATTCTACCATTTACAATCTAACACTTGTAAAGTTGTATAGTTAAATCGGAAACACTTTCCGTTGCTAAAGTGCACCGTTTCGTTCAGCGCTTTCCCTTAGCAATGCCGTTTTGCTATGCTCCTTCTTCTTCATTTCTTCTTCCTATTCTGGAGCAGAGCTGCATATCCTCATTGTTGTTGAGCAATTCATAGTGGTTAGAGAGTAACCATCTTCCATCCTCCTTGTTATCCATGGTGGAGGGAGCGATCGAGGACGTGGTCGACGTCACCGGTGAAAGATAGATTGACTCCGGGAGGAATTAGTTGGCCGAAGTCAGGGGTGGGGACGGCTGACTGGCTGAGCACCAGGAACCGCTAACAGAGTGGAAAGTAAGAACGTCGATTGGTGGCTGATGCGGCTAGCGATGCCATCCTGGATCTCCATGGGGGAGATTGCGCCCCAGAAAATTTAATTCGAGCTCCCAGTTTCTTTAGTTCACGAATTATAGCCGGCTTACTGAAAGTTCGCGTTTCCGCACGCTGGAGTGGGAGCGACAAACCCTTGGGAGCAAATTAGGTTATCTAAATACCAAACGTCTAAAAAAAAATAAATTAAAAAATTAATCGTGAGTAATGTCCTTCCAATATCTAAACTCATCAACAATAAAATTTTTTTGTCAAAAACAAGAGAACATATGTAAGAAACTAATTTGTTGTTTCCGGAAAAAATGTTTTGTTAAAAACACGAAGAAACAGATTGAAACTAATTTGTTGTTTCCGGAAAATAGCCAAAAAGCTACAACACCTTTTTTTTTAGTTGGAAACAATTAAAAAAAAAATTCAAGAGGCCATAATCTAACCTATATTCAAGTTCGCACAAAGACAATGCTTTATCGCTGGATCTGTTGATGTTTGTAACGTGTATCGTGCGCAGCATAGGCTGAGCACGACGAGTTGATTTCAAGTTTCCCCTCAACAGTACAACATTCATTTGGTAGAGTTAACTGCGCTCCACTTGATTTCATATGATAAATGTTCAACCACAAACCAACAGTTATCGCAAATATTTCCCCATTCATGTTACATACTTAGGTTTCCTTTAGAGGCAGAGTGACACTAGAAGAAATCCGAAGCTTTGAGTCAACACCACCACTGACTACACGGTACCCTCCCAACCAATCAGTACATAGCATACTGTGTTCGTGTGACTCGATAACAGAATACCCCTGCACATCAAAAGTACAGTATATACTCAATTCGATTGGCTTGTTCTACTTGAATGCATTGAAACTGCCAAACTGAAACTGGCTGAGAAAAATCGATATCTCATTTCTGACATCCCACATCATGACTGTGCCATCAAGGGATGCAGACAGTAAGTGGAATGAATCTTTGTGCCACTGGCATGCTGATATCTCTTTATTGTGCGAAGAAAACTTGAGCGCGGGGCGAGAAATGGCTGCAAGAATGACAAAGTGAGCATGTAAAAAGTAAAGCAACAGGCTTAAACCTGAAAGAAAGTCGCTAAGTTAACAAAAAGCCGAGACAAGCACACACAGGTCTGTCACTGGAAGCATACCTGGCTGATTTGGATCATATATCCTAAGTTTGCCATCGAATCCACCTGCGGCCAAGATGTTCGATCCCGATCCAGCTACACTAAGGCAGGTGAAGGGTGTTCCACCGACCTGCCAGGAAGAACATTCTTAGTGTGATCGGAGTTCAAAAGGTGAAAAGAAGGTGATACAAGATGACACATTCCCACATACGTTGGTCGACACATGACTGCATTTCTCAGCATCCCATTTTTTAATATTACCATCCCAAGATGCAGAATAAATGGTATTGCCTACTGGCCAAGCCACTGATGATACTGGTGCCGCATGATGACCGTCTAGTGTGCAGACACAATTATCCTGCATGAGGTATACATATTGTCAGATATAAAAGAACTCACTTTGCATTTAGCATAAGCTAAAACAGACACACCCAGTAACCTCCAACTGAGAGTCTTTAGCTCCAGATTCAGTTTGCATCTTCTTAATTGACCCTGAGTAAACTTCCGAGGCAGCTCCATCAGTCTGCCACACCCTGACTGTTTTCTCGAAAGAACCTGAACAGAACTGTTTTAAAATCAACTGGAAATGGTTAGTTTGCATAATCACTTCAGTAAGTTAACATTGTATCAAGGGTACAAGAGAGAAACGAACCCCACTTCCTGATGGATTTGCTGCCACACATCGTACTCCTGCAGCAGCAGGACTACACAAAATCTTCAATGGCCTAATCTCAGCATGAGATTTCTCAAGTTCTTTTGGATCCATCTTTTGGGAAGGGAAAATGAATCAATAATTCATCCACCAGGATTGGGTCACTGAATGCAGAAAGCTTTACAAATAGGAGAAGAAGTTAATACAGTTACCTTCCACAGTCTGACAGTTTGATCGGCTGAGCAAGTAACCAGAGTTGGATCATTACCTACACAAGCAAATTACAACAATGAATTATCTGCCGGCGTCCATAAGAACCAAAAATATAAAGCATAAGTGCAAGCACTTGCTTTCAACTAACTTATAATTACAGAAATTACATTATAAGAAGCAAACGGAAGAAGCTGATTACTGAAGTACTCATTTTTCCTTTGTGAATACAGAGTGGAACACTCTAAACCTATTGTTGTTTAGCGAATGGCTCTATAGTAATTGCTATATGATTAAAAGAATAACACCCCACGATACAAGTCCTGATAAACCAGTGCAGAAGTCTTCTGTCCAATTCGAAGTCCACAATCTGGCAACTGGTAACAATTGAAGTAAAATAAACCTCCTAGACCAAACAAATCGGATCTTATCTACCAGTTTTCCGAAGTAAAATAAAGCAGATGCATGAGTATATACCTAGTGGGTTAATGATACTAAGAGAACCAATTCCACCAGTGTGCCCTTCAACTTCAAGTATATGAGTAGGTGAACCATCATCTTTCCACAGCCTGAAGGATAGAAAGAAAAAGTTTGCACGAGTCAGTTTTCTTAACTAGCAGCTAAAAGAAAGAAGTGTCTGATTAGATGGGAAAAGAAAAAAAGCTGCTTCTGTACCTAACCTTGCCGTCCTAGCATCCAGTGAAGATGAACCTGCAACCAAGCAAGAAGGAAAGCCGTTAACAGCCAGCCCAATCAACTTGTGAGTAACATTGTAGCAGAGGGACTGCTTAATTGATCCTCTAATCCAAAGATGACTACAGACTATTGAAGAATCAAAAGCGCGGTGGATTATTACCCAGGACAAGAACAATCTACTACACTGACGGGTCCGCCATGCACTAAAGGCCTCACCTCCTCTTTGACAGGAAGAGTATATTCAATATCCAACGTCTTGTCCTGTTATATACAGCCGATTTCAACTGAGCAACAAAAAGAAAAGCAGTGAATGAGAATCAGGGAGAGAGATTTTGAAACTTACAACGTAAATGCCCTTATGCAAAAGGAATCTGTCGAGGCCGACGTCTGTAGGAAAAAGCTTCCCATTGATCAGAAAAACATAGGGCTGAGAATCAGAATTCCCTGTCACAAACAACACACATGCAGTGACCGACTGTTTTCAGCCAAGTAACAGAGAAATCAATACCAACAAGAGAAGTATAAGTAAACTTTACGAGATTCGAGGTGACCGTTTAGGATAGTGGAGAGTTGACGATAGGTGGAGGTAGCCAAAATAGTATCGGTGATCAAAGAGGTACTCGAGTTCGTGAGGAAACGAGCTGAAAACCTCCGCCCCTCCATGTCGACGTCCACTTAAAGCCGGCGGGAGAAGAGGAAGGGAGGTTGGATCGAAGTGGGGGAGCGAAAGTTAATATGTTAACTTGAAGATTCGTTAGCATATACTAATTGATATTTAAAATATATGAACTAGTATTCAAGTACTAAAGTATCTAGAGAGTACATACTAGTATTCAAGGTTTGCAAACTGATATCAACCATGAATCAACTATTATCTCAAATTCACAAACTAATATCTAGACAACACAAAATAGTATTCATACAGCACATAATTAGTATCCAGATAACACATAAGAGTATCTAGATAACACATAAGAGTATCCATATTGAATACTACTTGGTATTTGCTATCTGGATACTAGTTTGTGATGTTTTGAATACTAGTGTGTGCTATCTAGATACGTTAGTAAAATCAGCAGATTTGGATACTAGTTCATACATTTTGGATATTAGTTAGTATATACTAACAACTTATGCAGTTAGCAGAATAACTAGCCTGGAGCGAATTAGGGTTAGGGAAAAGGGGTAGTAATAGAATACTGCAGCTTGTATCTTACCTTTACCCGGACCTTTAACCTGTAGGCTGTAGGTCAACAGAAACCCCTTTGCTGGGTCCTCCATGGGCTTATAAACCAACTTGGTTCCCTATTGGGTTTGTTAACACCGTGTTTTCAAGGGGAGAGAGGCAAGAGACCCCTTTGCTGGGTCCTTATGGGCTTATAAACGAACTTGGTTCCCTATTGGGTTTCTGAACACTGTGTTTTCAAGGGGAGAGAGACCAGGGAAAGAAAATTTGTGTACCCAAGGATTTTTCTTCTTCTTTTACCGTAGTAATCAAATCATAATAATAGATTGGATATTACTAAATGTAAGATAGTCTAACGGTAAGATGCCGCGACAATATAATAATAGATCAGATATTACTAAAGGTAAGAGAATCTAACGGTAAGATGTCGTGACAGTGAAGGGTTAGGAGTTGCAGGTCCCAGGTTCGAATCCAATGAGGACCTGTTGGTCCTCCACGGAGGTATAAGGTTGTTGGGGAGAAGCCCCCTTGGCGTCCAATTGAATGCAAGTGACCCCCAATATTAGGAGTTTTGTCTGTCACAAAGTGACATGTGGGGCTCAGGTTCATGGGCAATAAAAAATAATAAAAAACCAGATATTACAATCGGTGCAAAAATAAAATGTGGTGGTCAAGCATATGTTGAATTATCAATAAAAGGGTCGTAGTTCCTACAAATGGACAACTCTGTTAGTATGAAGAAAACACAAACAATTATTAAATGAAAAAGATGCCTTCTACGATCAATATTTTTCCAGCATTGCACCTCCCTTATCATGATGAACATTGCCCGCCAATGCATTGCGAACTTCATAGAACTTAGGAGCGGTAAGGGGAGAAAAGGCACAGGTCACGACCACACGTCAAGGCAGTTACCACTAAGCCTTGACCATGTTCATTTCCTGAGGATCGCGACCATGAACAGTGCCCTAGAACTTCAAGAGGCAGCCGTCAAGGGGCTGAAAGTTTTGACACCCGAGTAGCGGTTTTGGTGCATTCGACCGCAAAATAGATCGCGGTCGTGATCTCAAGAAGGAGGCCACGATCTCGAATCATAAAGATGGGACATGGCCAAGTCACGGTCATGCATTGCCAACAACCTATAAATACTCCCTTTTCTGCACTTGACAAGGGAGAGTCGTCCTAGAGTGAGAAAGTTAGGATTTTGGAGTGGTTTAGAGGGAAACACCTTGGGAGAGTTTCATTGAAGATCCAATCCACCCAAAGAGAAAGAAGAAGGTGCACGCGAGGAGAAGAAGTTCGATTCCACCACTCCCTCTCTTCTAGTTTGTATTTTCCTTTCTCTCTCTATGACTTTAAACTTTAATGGTTGTTTAGAATAGATGAACCCTAGATCGTATTTGGTATTTGAATGAGTTTATCTATGGGTAATGTTGTTCTAGTGAATTTATGCCTCATGTATAATTAGTTATGTTTGGGTAAGTCACCATAATCTTCTCTACTAGCCTACACAAGCTTCTAAGCTGGGTACGCAGTTTTACAGTTAGACGGGTATGCGCCATCTGGCAAACTAAGGATAGTGAGTTATCTTAGGGCTTTGAGGTGGACGAGGCGACCGAACTCCGCCTCTATAGTTCCTTTCTAGAATGACGCTTTGGGAGGTTCTCCCCAGTAGTGTGTGATAGGTTGAACCAATTTAAAGGAACTAAGAGAGCATCCCTAGCAAGATAACTTAGATCGAGGTGACATTGGGTCTTTGTGGTAAACGCTAGGGGGAGGGAGAATTCCCGTGGAGAAATCTGCAGATCAGAGAGTTCCACACCTTATCCTTTAAACTCAACTTACCGACTAAACCTAGGGGAATTGAATTCTAGGAAACCATCTCATTTATAACGGTCTCCCAACCACTTGGCTGGTTGTTTAGGAGTAGGTTAAGTTAGATTCTGCAACCAAACTTTTAATTCGATTAAATAGTAGTTCGGAAATAATAGTAAGCTTAGGGTTACCTTGGAATACGATCGAGCCACTTTACTACAACCCTAGCTAGGTTATGCTTGGCTTAGTTAGGATTGAATAGAGTGTGTGCATCGATTTATAAATTTAAAGCTCGATCACGCAAGCGGATCATAGCTTGCCAAGGAAAGTTTGGCAAAAAGACTTCAAAGACGCGTTAGTTGGGAGGTAACCCAACAATTTTGGTTTGCGTATCTTTCTCTTTTCTCTTGAATAACTTGTTAACGTCAGGAATTGGTTAGTTTAGATGATGAATGATGGAACTTTAGCCCTTGCCATGACTTAATTGTTGGAGTGAATGTTGTAGATGATGATTGAATTCTTAGGTGTGTTTGAAAGTTGATCATTGCCTGGAAGAGGCAAGATCGCGGTCACGAGGTTAAAGATCGTGGCAGAGATCTTTGTACCCTAGGCCGCGATCTAACCCATCCCTGTTTAAGGAGGAGTGCACTATTCAATGCATGTGCTTTCTCTTTCCAATATCTTTCAAATCTCCTACACCATGTTCTTACAGCCCCTTTGAAACCTCTTGAGCATACTACATCTCACTCCATTTTCAAGCATCCCTATTTGAAGTATTGCTTAATTTCTTGGATAATATCATGTCTCCAAGCAATCTAAGGTACTCCTCCCCATTTTTCTATCATTTAAGCACCTTAGCTAGGTCAAAATGTGTTTGAATATAAAGTGAACTTTGGATCTTTTTAGGGCTATGACATCATTTATTTATGCAATAGGGTAACTATTTATGCTTCCAAGGTTATGTTATGTTTATTGGGAGACCATGGTGGGTTATTTTGACTTAGTTTAGTTGTTTTTAAAGTTTGTCCACCAAGTGTTCGAAGAAATTCCCCAATTACATTTCACTGAATTTCTTTGATCCTATGCCTTCCAATTAAACTTGTATGCTTATGAATGAACCTTGCATGCATGATTTTGGTTTATTTATGGAGATTGAATGCTATTTATGTTAGTGAACCATACTTCATTATCCATGCTCCCTTTTTGAATACATCTTCTTAATAAGTGTGGGGGTGGATGGATGCTTGCAAGAGTGATCGTCTAAATTAAATTGTCAATGTTTAGATGGATTAATGGTGTTTGTGTACAATTGGTCATACACTTATCTTATAGGGTATCCACAAGCATAAAGGCATAGTCTGAGGAGAGAGTTCACAACCCGTGGGAAACTCCAATTCCCCGAGCGCCCACTACGGCTCAAAGAGTAAGAGGAGTAAACCCCGCCATAGAGAAGTGATCATTGAGGCACCCAATCCACCCAATTCAATTAAGCTGACATTTACCCTGCAGAAAGTTCTCAAATGGTCTAGAGTCTCAACTAAAATTTTCCAGACCCGCTTGAATACATTACCCAGCGGGCAAAAAACCTTCACTAGAATAACCTAACCAATACAATAAGATTCAAACTCTACTGGGTTGTTACGCCAGTACAAAGCAATAAATCGATTGACTCTCGCATAATCAACTCAATACTTCCAATTCAGGTTGATCTATTAGTCTATGTAGATGTTATCGTTCTAGGTCAAAGCTGAAACTGCAAGAATGTGACTTAACTGAATATAAAATGGCAATCAATCATGCATTCGAGTTCATACAACTCTTCCTAGCATAAAAATCTAGGATTCTTCAAAACCTAAGTGAAGGGAAGTTACTCCATAGAGAACAAAGTGAATACATTATAACTTTCCAGATCTTCAATCTTCATGTCTAGGCTTGTTCCTTGAGCTTCCAAGGCGAACAAATCCTCCAATTCTCATTCAAGATCACCCTCAAATCGCTCTCTCTTTTTGGTTCATCCCTTGGCTGTTTAGGGTCCAAAACCCAGCTCCCCCCCCCCCCCCCCGCCCTCCAAATGCATAAAATGATCATTTATACTTAATACAATCTTGAGTACAATCCTAATTCAATAAGGATTGATCGTCGAAGAATCAAAACTAAACCGTTAAACTTCCTCAGTATTTTTGACGATTTTAGGTACCAACTTTGGACGTGTGCAACATCAACTTTTTATTAGCTTGGTGAAAATTCGACTTCAAGGGCTTGTATTGAAGAAGAGTTGCTCTTTCCATTGACATGTTATGGAGCTCAAGAGGAAGGCCAGAAGTATGCTTTTCAGGTCTATCAAAGTGCTAGCTTAACACAGGAAAAACTGCCAAAATTGCCTAAGTATGGAATCGAGTTCGGGAAGGTGACTTTGAGCTTCAATTCGAGGAGTGTGAGCAAGATTCGAGTTGCAAGGCTGATGTCACATGAGAGTAGGAATTACATACTACAACGTCGTGGAATTGGATGATTGGAATGAAGCTTGGAAGCCTTTGAACGAAAGCTCCAAATATTTGTTCGAAGACATGTTTTTCTGCCTTTGGAAAATACAGAATCTGAA